TTCCATGGATTTTTCGTCGTGCATTGAATTCCAACTGACCAACCAGCTATAAGAGGGTGCTTATTTTTGGAGGTGATCATTTTTAGTTTTTGCTTACACCATAACGAAAGTCTAGAGGTGCTTATTTTCGTTATTTTACGGTAATATAAATAACACATTTGAATTTTAAATGCATTACACAAAATGCAAATTATTTAAATCGCCAGATCACTGCAAAATTATAAAACATTAGATATTGATTAGGCCATCAAATATTTTTCTAGCAATCTGAAATGCCGGTTTGCCGAGGGTTTTTTTCGTGTCATAAAAATGATAGTTCTGATTTGAGAAAAATTTCGAGTCAGGTCAAACAACCCGGGTCGACTTGATCGTTTTGGAACTCTGGGTCCAAGAAAGTTTGAGACTGGTTAAGACTATAATGCGTATAATATTTTATAAAGTTAATTGATAGTGTCAGAAATTCAGTGTAGGACCATTTTGCATTGTCCTCCAGGTAATTAACTAGTTCTAGAACATTTTGGACAAGTCAAAAATTAAGAAATGTTTTGTCTCCACTTACTGATGTCGTACACGTACTGTACATGAAACTTACCGAGCGACCAACATAAGGTTCTTTAGAGTAAACAGTCAAGGTGACAAACCGGATTGAGCGCAATGTTAGTTTAGGCTGAAGAAAAATGTTTTGTTGATTAAGATGAAATTGCTTTGCTTGAGGGTAAATATATATGCGGTATTCGAATGAAAATTCGTATTACATAAATCAGTATTTATAATTTTGATTTAAATAATAAAATTTGCCAAGCAAAATTCACGTGATTTCCCGATTGATATCACCGTAATTACTTTTCGGATTAGAATGGAATCCGTCCCCTAGCTATAATAAAATTATCTTTCTTTTATTCTCTTCTCTTATTCTTTTAAAAAAAAAATGGATGAATCACTTTAAGAAACTACGAAAAAATTAAATTTGTTTATTTTATAAGCTTAATACAACGAATTTTTATTTTGAAAAACCTACTTAATACACTTTTTAATATATTCATAGTAGACGAATTGTGTTGCTTTTTTCAATATAAAGAAAGATGGTTATAGTTTAAACTCAACCTTTAATTTATTTATGGTAACACGAAAATAAATATTAAAAACACAAGGTTGTTTACAGCACGATAATATAAAAAAATCGAAATAAGAAAAATAAGTTAAAATAAAACGAAAACGAAAGTAATATTCGAAGTAACATTCTTGTTAAATTTAATAAAAATTACACGTTGAGAATAAACTATTATTTTCGTGTTGAAGGTAGGATAATTTGTCAAATTTGATAAGTGTAAATAGTGATAAAAAAAATAATAAAATCAAATAAAATAAAATATAAAAAAATAGGTGGAGAAAGAACGCTAATTTAAAATTTCGAGCCATACTTAGAACAAGAAAACCGTTTTTTTAAGGAATAGATAACGAAAATAATTGACACGTCGATAATAGGAGAAAGAACTAATCTTTCACCCATTTATATTCCGAGCTTCTAAACAATAATACTAATTATAATTGACATAATTCATTAAAGAATATATAAAGGTTAAAGAAAGCTTTCAGGAAAAAATAAAACAAAACTAAACAAAATAAAATAAAATAAAAAAGGGAAGTACCCAAGAACGTTACGGATAATTGAGAGGTCGTAAATTCACAAGCTTATATAAAATTTTATAGTTAGGACGACGTAATTCCTAACATAAAAAGTCCGTCACATAATTCATATAATTTTTGTAAGTTTAATAAATCTTATTTTGGAGGAAATTTAAAAGGTAAAAATAATTTTTTTTGCATTTATTTTTTTTTTTGATTTCATTTCATTTTCGATCTTAAGTTGATGAAAGTATTGTATTTCAAACAAGCTTCTTTTATAGTTAAATTTTTCTGAATTTTTTAAGCCACGAAATAACTATTAAGATAAGATTTAAAGAACCAAACCAATATTTTGTGCAAAAAAAAAAAAAAAAAAATGTATTTCCACCTATTTCCGAATATTTGGTAATTAGTTGTGCTCGCTTAAACTTTAAAGCGAACGAAATTCAAATCTCTTATCTCTTTCAAATTACCAAAAAGAATAAACAAATAAGCGAACATATATGTTACGTTTCACTTGTATCTTCCATCATCAGTTGCATAATCTCCTTATGCTTCAGTCATTTATATTGTATTATGTAAGATAAGAGGAATAATGTTTTATGAAATTTATACTAATTTAGATATGTCAGAGATACTATTTTCTATAAAAAAAAAAAAAAAAAAAAAAAAAAAAAGGTTGCACGAGAGATCAACTTAGATACGGATAATTTTGGATAATTTAGAAAATAAATAAACTCGCAAAACAGTCGTTACGCCAACATGATTTTGTTCAATTCCTGTTTTTAACGCCAAATCACAGGTTCACCTGAACTTTATTACACAAAGCAACTCATAATCTGTTTATGAATCACAGAAAACTAAGTTTTCTTTTACCCATCTCAAAAAAAAAAAAAAAAGAGATTAATCGATAATCGTATAAAAAATTGAATCTATTTTTGGACGTAAAAAATGCTCATCATTAAAAACTGTCTAACTATATGGAGTGGAAGTTGAATTTAGATGTTTTGTTACAAAGAATGTAATTTTTGACAATATTATGTCCAAAATTTAAATAAACAAATTATTATAATATTTAACCATAAAATTGTATAAATTGTATAGTATTATTAAAAAGACTGTTTCTTTTTGGTTAATTTATTAATTTTATATCCGAAAAAATTTTTTCAATTATTTTTATTATCACGGGTTTTAATGTTTAAATTTTATTTTCTAATTTAATCTTTTAATATAAAATTATTTTATACCGGGATTTTAATTTAATTTTTTGTTTTTGTATTTTCGAATTGATTTAATTTATTGATTTCTTTCTATTTAATATTTTGATATTTTTTTTAATGAACTTTTTCTAAATTTAGTTTAATTTTAAAATTTTTTAATTTAATTATTTTTTATATCCCCTATTTCTTTTAGTTCTACCATTTTATTTATTTTCGGATTTAATTTATTTAGAGTTCTCAAGCACCTATCTCAATTGATCTGTTATACAATATGCAAAATGCGCATTTGGGATATCCAAAATAGGACTGCGTTTTTCGGAAATCAATGCATTTGGCATTTGGGTAACGGATCGATCGGTTATATTTGATTAATCGAAAATCGAATCTTTCGAGTCGATTCTTGAGAAACGATAATTGTGATTTTTCTCAAATCGATTCTAACGTCATTTTTACTAGGAAATTTCACGACGTGGGTGATTTTTTAAAACTTTTTTTTTTCGCGGAGGTCATAAAGATAAATCAGATAATAAAATCGAATAATCCGTTCCGTTAATTTCGCTAGCGAACGTTTCACATGGTGTTAGGAACACCAAAATTGGACTAAATCCGATTGGTTGAAGATAATGTGAGTGAGAATCAACATTTTCTCAGTTCAAACAAAGCCGTTCAAATAGGGTTTGGAGAGTATCAAAAGAAAAATGGTATTTTTTTTTTATTAAAGATCTAGTTATACACGAAACTAAACATATGGGGCTTCGTAATAGAAAGCTTTTTTTTTAAAAACTCAACCACAAAAAAAACAAATTGTCGACTAAGTAATTAAAATAAACAAATAGCTACATCGTAGCATTAAATTTTTTTTTTAGAAAATAGTTTATTTCGTGCAACGCAACTTTTCTATCTTGTTGAATGGAGAGCTCGTCTAATAGTCCAAGTTGAAACATCCTGTCCGGACTTCTTTTTCAAATCTGCAACACACCAGCAGCGCATAGGCGACGATTTTTGATATGATCGTTCGCCACGATTCGTTTAAGCGATTACGTTGACGAATCGTAATTAAAAGTGGAAGACCGGATCGAGGTATCTATTCGGTCGATGGGTCACGAATAGTTTGATTATGTCATAAACCGCAGTTAACGGTCTCTGATAGCTATAACCACGTTAATGTCAAAAAATTATGCTCCGCGTTGTTCCGTAGTTAGTACTTCAAATTCTTATTTTTATGTATTTTGGAGAATAATGACTATTGGAATTGATGCAAATATGTGAAAAAACATTTGAATGTCATATGACCGTAGTAGTCATTATTATTGTCAATTCGCATTTTGAAAGGGTGTTCGGATATTCTGGTCCACCCTCTTATAATAAATTATGACAAAAAAAACTCTTATGCGGAGTGCAACTGAAAACATAAACAGTACGATCAAACAACAAATTAGCGAAATCTTATTGTCAGAATGCTAATTGGTCAAATATGCTTGAAAGTAGATTTATTGCAAGTGAGGAAATTCGTGCAGTTTACAATATGAAGCACAATTCAAATGTGACGTAAACTTTGGTTACCAAAACTTGACGCATCACCTCCAATATAGATAATCTTTAACTTTAATTTCTAACTGGTTCATCAAATATTTTAAACTTTATTTTGTCAACAATGCGATGCACAATGTAAGATATGATTGATTGTACACTAATTATCAACAGTTTTACTCGTTTAATTAAAATTTAATTGAACAAAGATTTCGTATATTATTAACTGAAACTAAGGTTTTTTTCGTTGAAAAGTTTCATGATAAAGATATGTGAAAACAATTTAAGTGAAGGATTATAATATGGGTGACTTATTTCATTTGATTTTTTCAAAAAAAAATAAAAAATCATTTATGGATTTAATGAACTTATGCAATGTACAGTATAAGTATTATACGCTGACCATTAGTCAACATTAAAAAAAAATTAAGGGCCAATCTACTGTCTCTGGTCATCTGCTAAGCATTAGCTTTAATTTCGAACGTTTTATTTAAATCACGTTACGGATCATATTATGATTCTAAGCTTTAAAACTAATTATGTGTGCAAATTAATCCTTTTATTATTACAAGTATATACATATTTTCCGTCTGCTGATATAAATTTTAAGGCTAAATATTAGCATTATGTAAATACGGAGTAATTATTATCCGCGTGAGAATGCTCTGTACACCCTGTACTACAATAGAAAATCAATCAATTATTTACATAAATAATCAGCAATTATTTTAAGCCTCTCAACATAACTATAAGCACACGAGATGCTAAGACAGACCAAAATGACTGTTCTTGAATGATGGTGGCGGTAGTTGTTGTCGTAGCCGCTGTCGCCAACAGCGTGACCTCCTTCCCTTGATCGCCTGGTCTACTGTCGTCACCAACTACGATTGCTGTCTTTAATGAGCGCGATGAGCTTGAGCTCTCATTCTACTTCTTAATTACTCTTTTTTCGTATAAATAATTTACGTAATCGCATAGTGAAACCCATACAAAAAGCCAACATTATTTTATTTTGGCTGAGCCGTGTTCATCTAAAAATGGCAATGATATGATAAGCTTAAAATGAATTTCCAGTTTATTAAATCATACAATAACAAAAATTATTTTTTTTTTTTTAGAAAAGAAAAAAAATTTATTTTTATGTCTAAGATCCAAAGAGTATATGTTTCAAATTAATTCGTAACTCGTTATACTGTTATTCCATAAGAGAAGTGTTGCCTGACTTATGAATTTTCTAACTTCCTTTAAGAGACAATAACTTTAGTTTTATATATTAAATACTTAATACTTTTTTTTTAAATAAAAAAAAAGAGAGAGAGAGAAAGAATGATTAAGCGGTATGGAAAAAAAAAAAGAATTTGGTAGGTTGACCAACCGACTTTCGACATATTAACTAAATAGTAACTTCAATAATAAGAAATTTATGCTATTCAAATAAAATAAAGTAATTATTTAAACTATAAATAATCAAATTAATTTTTGAAAATAACTTTTGCGTAGTACACGATTGTCGTTAAAAATTAGACAACATAAAGAAATATTTTTCCTACTCTGCTCATTTATGAACAATTTTTTTGAGAAATCAACCATTCTAAAACCAAAATGCGCTTGGTAAAAAATTTTCAAATTATCCGGTTGATATGGTAAGCCTTTCTTCATTATTTTTTATTATTTTCAAATTTAAATTGAAATGTATATTATTAAATAATATATTTTGATTAAGTATTTTATTTTGTATGTTATTTAGATTAAAAGAATAATATTATTTAATATTTAAGAATTAATTTTAATATATCAGAATAGTAAAAATTAAATTAAAAAAATATTGCTTAAAAGGAAAACTTTTTAATAAAGGGATATTTAATATTATTAGAGTAAAAGTTAAATTAATATATTATAATTATAAAAAAGTTAAGTATGATTACAGTACTAAATTATAAAATTTTACATTAAAAAGTTAATTAGTATTGACATTAACAAAAATGAATTATCATGCAAAAAACTATTTTTATAATTTAAATAAATACCACTTTATTACCGTGTAACATAATCACGAGACAAGAATATGCAACTAATTATAATTAAATATTATAAAATTAATTTTAATAACCGGTCCATTAATTCTTCGACAAACAAATTTAAATCTTAATATGCCGAAGAGCTTTAAGTTCCTTCAAACTCAATTTCCTATGGAAATCATCAAAAATATAGAATCATTCAAAAATCATGTGAAACAAATAATTTCGGTGTCAACTGATTATATCATCATTTTAATATAATGAAAAAAATAACTATTAAAATAGACCTTTTCATTATATATATATGGTCATAAATAAACATAGAAACTTTTCATAAACTACTTGGTAAAAGAGAAATTAAAAAATGACCTTTATAAGAGAAAATATCTGTTAGTTTCGATATTACATGTCAAACCCGTGATTACTAATCTCCCATTTACATTCAAACACCACTTCTTTATCTGAACAAGAAGGATTGGGATCAACTGATGATTGTACGGTAGATTCTCGGTTCGCAAACATGATTGAATAATCAATACTTCCTGTGTTAAAAGAGACCACCTTAAAACACCAGACACCATCTGAAGAACAAGAACTTTTTCCATTTGGTGATTTCATATTGAAGGTCAAGCAGCTGTTGTATCCGGTGTCTGCCCGAAAGCATACATTAGCCTTGAGATTTGTATCTTGAGCAGAACCAACGCTGGACGCTTTTCCTGCAACTTCGACAAATGTAGAAATAGCAGCTGGCACACAGGTCATAAAAATCAGGAAATAAATAAATTTGGTGAACATTTTGAATTGTTGAATGTTTGACAAGAAAACTTGGGTTATAAAAAGTAAATTGGTGTAGCAATTACTTGGAGAGTAGCGAGTTCCCCATGCTAGATATATAATTATCCGATGTGGCTTTGTTTCATAAAAGTTTTGGTAAATAGATAATAAAGACGCGCAATTTAATTGCGGATCCGATTTTGCGCAGTTTAATTCCGTTTGAGAATCTGAAATTAATAGAATATTTTCAGATCAGAGATAGTGGCATCCAATATTGCGCAGTTAATTATATCTGGCTGAATCAAGCCACAATTTCAGCTGAATCTCAGACGGATTCAATCGCGGAATCTCGGATTTTTTTTTTTTTTTTTTTTTTTTTGCGATCCGAACGCACGAACACAAAACTGTGCATAAAAATTATCTTTTATGCCAAAATGTCCTCCAGACATTGCCCTTTGGCCAATTGTTCTTTACAAAAATTTAATATATATACAATGGGGTGGGGTTTTTCTCGGTCGGGAAATTAGTTAGAATTTTATTTGTAATTTTTATTTATATAATACAACTGATTTCTTTCTTTTCTTTATTACGATTTTTCCGATAAATTTTAGTTTTAATGTGTTTTGTATCAATTACGGACCGACGTTAAGGCAGCACTTGATTAATTGATTTTATTAAAATAAATACTTCATCTTACGAAATTAGGTTGTTTAAATATTATTTATTTTAAAAAAAAATTTTTTTTAAACAAGCGATAAAAAAGTTGAGCTAACTATTTTAGTAAATAAAATTATAGTGTCTTATTCAACATACATAGCAATCCGCTATGTCCTAAAAATAATGAAAAAATAAAAATAAAAATAAGAAAAATAAATAATATAAAAAATTAAAAAATAGAATACAAATTAAAAAGCTTATTCAATTGATTCAAGGCGTAATTTATTACTTGTTTTTCAATAATGATTTAATCAGTGATTGTTCTTTAATATATTTCCAATATTGCAAATCTTTAATGAATTTAATAGTTCCGCAATTGGAACTGGACATTAATCAGATTTCATTTTCGCGAGATGAAAATACATTAATTCCACTTCATCTGTGAGTGATTTTTGAGATCGTTAAAATAATTTCTGGAGATAATTATTTCCAAAGGATTAGAAATTAAATAATTATGATTTGAAAAATTTATATAATAAATTTGATAAACAGGTTCGAATTATTCGAATAGTTTTATTAATAATAGATTAGTTTGATTTTCCGGAACCTATTAATTTAAATTTTTGTATTATCCTTAATAGTGCTCCGTAAGGGTCGGGTCGGGTCGGGTTTGAAGCATATTCGAACTCGAACCCGTTAATAATTACGGAACCCG